GTATATAACCCTGAAATATTGAGTATGCTGTCACTGCATTAGATAACTCTCAGACACTGGGTCTGTAGACAAATATGTGGTCACTATCTAAGATAATTCCCAGACACTGGGTCCATAAACAGATGTGTGGTGATTGCCTTAGACAACCCCCAGTGACTGGGGTTGCAGACATATATATGTGGTCACTATCTGAGATATTTTCCTGACACTGGGTCTGTAGTCAGATGTTTGGTCACCATCTTAAATATTTCCCAAATAATGGGCCGGTAGACAAATGTGTAGTCACCAACTAAGATATTCTTAGACAGTTGGTTTTAAACACATCTGTGGCCACTGCCATAAATGACCCCTACACACAGGGTGTATAGACATAATTGTGGCCATGATTACTGCCTTAGATAACATTCAGACACTGGGTCTGTAGACAGATGTGTGGTCACTGCTGTATATAACCCCCCAAACAAGGGGTCTGTAGACAGATGTGTGGTCACTGCTGTATATAACCCCCCAAACAAGGGGTCTGTAGACAGATGTGTGGTCACTGCTGTATATAACCCCCCAAACTAGGGATCTGTAGACAGATGTGTGGTCACTGCTGTATATAACCCCCCAAACTAGGGATCTGTAGACAGATGTGTGGTCACTGCTGTATATAACCCCCCAAACAAGGGGTCTGTAGACAGATGTATGGTCACTGCTGTATATAACCCCCCAAACTAGGGATCTGTAGACAGATGTGTGGTCACTGCTGTATATAACCCCCCAAACAAGGGGTCTGTAGACAGATGTATGGTCACTGCTGTATATAACCCCCCAAACTAGGGATCTGTAGACAGATGTGTGGTCACTGCTGTATATAACCCCCCAAACAAGGGGTCTGTAGACAGATGTGTGGTCACTGCTGTATATAACCCTGAAATATTGAGTATGCTGTCACTGCATTAGATAACTCTCAGACACTGGGTCTGTAGACAAATATGTGGTCACTATCTAAGATAACCCCTCCAGACACTGGGTCCATAAACAGATGTGTGGTGATTGCCTTAGATAACCCCCAGTGACTGGGTTGCAGACATATATATGTGGTCACTATCTGAGATATTTTCCTGACACTGGGTCTGTAGTCAGATGTTTGGTCACCATCTTAAATATTTCCCAAATAATGGGCCGGTAGACAAATGTGTAGTCATCAACTAAGATATTCTTAGACAGTTGGTTTTAAACACATCTGTGGCCACTGCCATAAATGACCCCTACACACAGGGTGTATAGACATAATTGTGGCCATGATTACTGCCTTAGATAACCATGAGACATTGAATCTGTAGACAGATGTGTGGTCACTGCCTTAGATAATGCTAAGACATTGAATCTGTAGACAGATATTACTTATATTTGGTCACTGCCTTATACAACCCATCCAGACATTGAGCTTTTAAACTCATAAAATGATCAAAAGTACTGAGTATTTTAATTTCCAGTAACTAGATTGGTGAGAGATACTTCAAGGAGCGTCATAGTGGCAATTTAGGTTACTTACAAGAATATGGTGAGATGTAGCATGTTTACTTGTATTCAGGTGTAAAGTGACGGGTAATTTGTATATTTCCTGGCAAGAGCTATAAAATTTTCTGTGTTTAAATCTCCATTCATAAAAAGAATGTTTTCTTGAAATTCCATCTATTTATCACTTTCGTGACTACGATACGGATCTGAATTTTAAATCTACGTCAGTGAGTTTGAAGAATGACATCACTCAGATTGTTTTGGTGCAAACATGATATTTCTATTTCTTTCATTCATCATTGAACAGGAACCTCCATTAAACTTTTTGCCTAATTGATTTCCGTGAATGCTTTGTAAAAAATGAAAAGCAAGTTTCACATTTACATTATTGTGTAAACATTGAAATTCATTGTATAACATTTTATGACTTAACAAGCTTAGTGTTAAAATTTTTGGAATGGAGAAAAAATCATGAGTGGGTTTGTTTTGTGATATCTTGTTTCCTACTGGGGAGGTTAACAAGATATCCATACACTTTGCTCGTACAGTAGGTGTGGGCCTGTGTGTGAGGAAATTTGTCATAGTTCATTGTACATGGATCTCCTATTCTGGTACAGAGGTCAGTATATTTAGCACTCTAGGTCATAGCTAGCCTGCTATTATAATTAAGATGTGATCACTAGCCGTTTCAGTTGTAAAGGTAATGTGAGTTATTACAGAGTCTGTACACAAGAAGACACAACTACGGTCAGGTTTCATAGTTTGAATGCAAAAAAGCTGGCATTTTGGTGAACTTGATTGGTTGTCATGCACCATTAGTGTATCTGCTCGTAAATTACATCATCAATCAGTGTGTAACCTCTAACCCCTGACCCCTGTCACATACCTGTCATTATATCATACCTGGTTGAACAGGTAACCGGAGGTACAGGTACGCACGCACACAGACGAGTATTGTACTCTTCGGCATTGGTGGGCATTAGTGCAGGGTCCATTTATTACCAAACACCATTTATTTTGTATACATTCTCTAGGTAACTTCCACTTTCCTGTTATGTGAGATAGTTTTTAGGCTTACTTTTAATAGTGCACCTCTTCTCAAATCACAAAGTGTACCAAAGTATCATTTTTTACACCTGTCAGAATTACTTAGAAAATTAGGCTTTTATGGTCGAAAATTGTTATGGTTCTAACATTTCCAGGTCTGCAATTAAAACTTTTATGACATGCATTTTATACAATGCTTATTTTAAACTACAATAACTACACGACAAAGCCACAACGCTGGTGGGTTTGAGGGAAAGAAGAAAAATTACCTGTTGTTACCAATCTGTTTTAAGAGGCGACTTCTTTGTCCAGGTGGCTTGTATCAATCTCCACTGATATCATAGCGATATGAAGAATGCGTTGGAAAATGAACAATACCAATAAAAAAAGCTGAATTTGTATGGTAAAATATGGATAATGGTTGTCATGTTTTCTGTCGGTTCCAAATCTATAGCAATTAGTTATGTGTAAATTTGATAGTTTTACACTAACAGTGATCTTAGTTGACATTACTGTCATGTAGAAGTTTTCTCAGAGTATATGTATTTGTATACACATACACTACACATTCTGAACAGTCCACAGAGTTCATGCACTTGTAATACAGGTCTCTCGGCCACATGCACTTAAATGCCCTCGGAAGGTAAACATAAGTGTTAGTACATGTACTTTGTAGCATGACAACTATAAAAAGTGTCATTATTTGGCAATTACACAATCCTGTAGAGGCACGTTAGTACCATAGTATACTCTGCGGCATGTTGTAAAACTTTGGAAATCAGGTCAAACTGATTTGAATGTTTCTCATCAGTCAGTGTGTAGTGTGTTGAGAGATATTCTGACTAGTTTGGTTATTTTCAGTTTGACAGACATTATAACTTAAGTATTTAATAGGGACATGTTTTATTACTCAAGTAAGGTTTAGTCATGTGTACCGTATTGAAGTTGTAATGTTGCTGAAGTGATAGAGTTTGATGACCCCATAGCATTACAGAGATGATCTAAAAGGAAGATGTTAATTTGTGATGATACTCTTTTAGTTCCATAATATATGAAATACGTCATGGTTGTTCACACAATTTCCTTTTATGGTGTTACAAACAAAAGCCTACTCATCTTTCTTTAGTGACATGTTTACAGCATGTGTGAATATTATAATTTGTGATATCCGGGCAAGGATGAAAACTTTAGTGCCTTGTAATCCTGATAAATTGTTTTCTTTTTGAGTAACAGAATCTGTGAGAAGAGTCTGTTGAACTTAATTAGGAAAAGTCAAGCTGGTTGATTCTATGTATTCACAGGTATACGAACCAGTTCTGGGATGATGTGGTCAACCTCTCCCCTTAATTTTGTTATTGACTTGGCTTAACAATATTATAATGCAAGGTCATTTTTATGGGACTTAAATTAAATTTACCAAAACCTCATAGTTAAAGACATAGATAACTTGATACCTGGTGGTCAGCCAGGTGACCCCATACCTTTTTACATCCATTCTGGAAATGGAACCCTTGACGGCAAGGTGAAAGAGCATTACCTACCAGCTGAAATCAAGTATCGAACACTGGCTCACGTGAATACCTGTGTTTATGATGGTTAGGGGTACTAATGAGGTTGGGTACATGTACAGCTGTTCTTTAACATGACAAGCAAGAAAGGTTTCTATAAATGCTATATCTACAGACAAAGTTATTCGGAAGATTGATATTCGTTGTTTACAGACACTATGCATAGGAATTCACACATCATGAAGATTGGTAGTTTTAGTTATGCAGAACAAAGTGACCTATTTAACAGGTTGGAAATTATAATTCTTAAAAATGTTCTTTGAAAATATTATCGCATTGTATTGTTTAGTAGTTGAAAAAGTATTATTAAAAGACAGGATATTCAAAAATCAGAAATATGGACAACTAAATGTGATGTCTGTTTTACCTGTTGTAACTTCAGGTGACAGTTATTTTAGGGTAATTTAACCTTATATGAATATTTACGAAACTGGTATCAGTATGGCAATAAAAGGTAAATTTGACCTAGCATTCTATACAGACTGTGCTAGGCATGTTACAGTTAGATCAGTTACACTATCAGATATAAACTGGATGATAAATATTTTCTTTGTTAATTTACCAAAATAAAACCCAATTAAAAAAAAATCTACCTGAAGGTAAAGAGCTACCTTTAAAGCTTTCAATTTTACCTGTAACAGTCAAAAAAAATGTATGCAGAAGAAATTTCTGTGTCCTGTTCATAGTTTTTAACAATAGAGGAACTTGTTTCCAAACAGTTCTTTATAAAAACAGGGATTTTAACCAATTTGATGCTGTCATTCTAGAAAGAAACCAATTTGATGATGTATTTCTAGAAATTAATGTCTTCCAAGAAACTAATAAATTTGATGCTGTCTGTCTAGAGTGAAGTAACCATATTTGGCATTGTCTTTTCAGGATTTCACCTTAGTGGAACAGTAACGGAACCTGCCAACCCCTTGTATACCACAGAACCAGATACTACATATCAAGTGTCTATCAGCTTTGATAGGTAAGTCATGATGACCTTCAAATGTCCTTGGCATGTTCTTTGCAATTATTTGTACAGATTTTGTTCACTGACTGCAGAACATGGTGTATATCATGTAGGGTTTACTATTTCATCATAACTATCACAGAAATCAGTAATTTTCTATATGGCTTCTGAATTTGTAGCAATTAATATTGTTTACCATGACAACACAAGGACACAAGTGGGGCTGTACCTTGGCCTGTAATGAAAGATGGCTTTGGTTTTTTCTATGTTGCATGGAGATCTAATTTCTGGGTAATCCATTGGTTTATTCACTATTATACACCATTGGTAGTAATAAATGTATGATACAAGTATATTAAATACACATAAGATAAAAGTGCTTTTCTATCTTGCCTGCTTGCCTCCATCTGTATCAATTTTGCATCATATGTATGCAGGCATGATGCAACACAATACATGTATGATTATAGTTGTCATGTGGCAGAAGGTTGCAAGACCTCCACATGGCCCGCTGTGCCACAGCTTACAGAGAAGACTGGAATCATTGTCCAGTTCTCTGAACCTTAAGCAGTCAATGAGGCGAAGAAATGTTTCCTCATAGCTGACTAGTTTCTTTGACATGGAAAAATTTCAATGACAAACTCTGTTACGCTGTAATAGGTTGAGAAACCTTAATTAGGATGAAGGATACCTGTATTATTCACCATACACACTAGGTTTGTGTCCAATTCCATAAAGCCTAACATTGCAACATAAAAACCCTTTGATTCTCAACATGGCACAATTTCATAGTATTTTGCAAAACTAAATGGGGGAAGCGCAATATTCTGTGCTTTGAATGCAGTGTCAGGCGAGCTGTTTTCGAGCTCATCGCATGTCATTAATTCTTGTCGCTTGAAGAAGAAAAATCTTATGCAATTCCCAGTGAAGGATAATGATATGAAACTGGATAACATAGTACCTTTGGAAAACATAAAATACAAATCCAAGGATACCTGGCATCTTTTGATCACGCGGACTGTGATTACAGAATCTCCTACTTGGATGTAGTTACAGTGTGTATAAGAAATGAATTTCTTTCATGCTGGCGTCTGAAAGGATCTCACAGTTTCCTTCTTTTTATACACTATAATGAACATGTGAATCAGAGCACATTACAGTCGTCAAGATTTATAATAAATCACACAGGCGAGCAGGATCTGATCAATGTCATTCGGGCACTTGTTATTTAGTTGACTGGGCCACAGAGATGCTTTACAGTACAAAAGAGTGGGAGCCGAATGTATGGGCACTGAACACGGATTATATAAATCTTGTGTTTCCCTATTGATCTGGGGTCCTTGGAAATGATCGTTAAAGCCAAGCTGTTTGATGAATTAACAGAGGAATGCACCAGCTCTGTAATTGGCTCCAGACTTGACATGACAGAGTTGAAGTAAACTGAGTTCAGTGAATCAGAGGCATTTTTGAACGGGAAATACATTGCTAGTCTAGATCAGTGCATTCAATTGTACTGCTATTGTACATCCAGATGCATTAAGAGCCATGTGAGGCGGTTTTTTCCTGAATAGCTTCTCATTTGATTTTCTGTAATCCTCAGTAAATAAGACTGAGGATTTAGGAAGGCTTACATTACTATTATGTAGGGCAATGTTTGATGAAACATAGCTTATAATCCTATTTCTTTTCTCTTCACAATCAATGTTGTACCACAGTAAACATCTAGCATATTACTTATGCAAGAATTATTTTTTCTTTAGAATCTCATTTGGTATACATTGATGGAAGCTTATCATTGATGATACAATTCTTTTATCTATTCACTTCAATCTCAATTTAGATTTTATGAACAATTTTACATTTTATTCAAGGGAGTTAATTATGTGATCACGTGTCATGCCATTAACATGCATAGTAAGAATTATTACCACATTTTAATTAAAGAATGTTTCATACAATTCTACAATTAAAAATTACTGTGACAGTTGATGTATGTGTGGGGTTATTTTTTTTTACATAAGTGTCCTAAGTGACAGGATACCATGTATATAGTAGCCAGGAGTCGTCGGTGTGTCTAGTGTACACTTGTCAATCGTTTGTATGTTCAGTGTACACTTGTCAATCATTTGTATCCTCAGTGTACACTTGTCAGTCATTTGTATCGTCAGTGTACACTTGTCAATCATCTTTATGTTCAGTGTACACTTGTCAATCGTTTGTATGCTCAGTGTACACTTGTCAATCATTTTTATGTTCAGTGTACACTTGTCAATCATTTGTAGTCTCAGTGTATGGTTGACAATGGTTTGTATGCTCAGTAAACACAAGTCAGTCAATTGTATACTTGGTGTATACTAGCCTTTCATTTTGTGCTTGGTTAATATTAGCCATTAGTTTGAGTACTTAGTGAATGCTAGCCAAATGCACGCATATACATTTTACACTTGTCAAACTTTAGTGTACGCTATTCAGTTGTTTGTGTACTCAGCGTACATTAACCAATCCAAATGTTCGTATACTCAATGTAAGCTAGTCAGTTGTTTGAGTATCATGTTTACGCTAGCCAATATTTTTTGTACTCTGTGTATGCTTGTCAATCTGTGTGTACTTTGTGTGCCTTAATCCATGTACTCTGTTTATACTAAACCAATGGTTTCTGTACTCGGTTTTGCTATCCAATCATTTTTTTCACTTCGTGTCATTTGTGATATAAGCTGATCTTGATTTGTCCATGTATTGATGAATTGTGAGCTGGAGTACTTTTGTGAATGAAAGTACATTTGTATGCTACCAAAGTGCCAAGTTGTATTGCCTTGAGCTAAGAAGTCGTGTTCAATCGTTTGTATATTCGGAGCATGCCAGACTAGTGTTTGTACACCTGTACACTAGCCAAGTGTTTGTGTACTCTATGTACACTAAACCATTGTTTCTGTACTCAGTATAAGCTAGCCAGTCATTTTGCCTAACTCCATGTGTTAGCCAATCATTTCGCCTAACTCCATATGTTAGCCAATCGTTTGTGATATAAGCTGATTAAAACTGATTCGCTTATACTAATCACAAACAGCATCACGAAATCGAGATTTGTCTATTTATTGATGAATTGAGAGCTGGAGTACTTTTGTGAATAAAAGTACATCTGTATGCTACCAAAGTGCCAGGTTGTATTGCCTTGAGCTAAGAAGTCATAAACAATTGTTGTATGTGCAGAAAATGCTAAGCTTTTGTATGTACATGGTGTACACTAGCAGATTGTGAACTGGATGTACTTTAGCCAATTGTTTGTTTATTCTCGATGTACTCTTACCAGTTGTTCGTGACTTGGTTTATGCTAGCCAATCATTTGAGTGCTGGCCAATCATTTGAGTGCTAACCAATCTGTGAACTTCGTGTACATTAATCTGCGTACCCTATGTACATTAGCCAATTGTTTCTGTACTCGGGTATGCTAGCCAATCATTTTTCTGAACTTTATGTGTTAGCCAATCGTTTGTGATATAAGCTGATAAAAACTGATTTGCTTATACTAATCACAAACAGCATCACGAAATCGAGATTTGTCTATTTATTGATGAATTGAGAGCTGGAGTACTTTTGTGAATAAAAGTACATCTGTACGCTACCAAAGTGCCAAGTTGTATTGCCTTGAGCTAAGAAGTCGTGTTCAGTCGTTTGCATACTCCGAGTATGCCAGATGTAGACTTCTGTTTGTTTACTTAGTATATACTTGCCTAGTATTAATGTACTTTACGTACAATAGCCAGTGGTTTCTGTACTCAGTGTATGTTAACCAATTGATAATTTACTCGGTGTACACTTGCCAATTGTTTGTGACTTGGTGTATGCTAGCCAGTCGTTTGAGCTCTATGTGTACATTACTCAATATGTGAATTTTTCATATATAGCCAACCTGTGTACTTTGTATACATTAGCCAGTCATTTCTGTACTCGAGTATTCTAGCCAATCATGTTTCTAAACTCCATGTGTTAGCCAATCGTATGTGATATAAGCTGATAACAGTTGATATATTTGATTGAGTCCCTTATACCCATCACAACCAGCATCACGAAATCGAGATTTGTCTTATTTATTGATGAATTGAGAGCTGGAGTACTTTTGTGAATAAAAGTACATCTGTACGTTACCAAAGTGCCAAGTTGTATTGCCTTGAGCTAAGAAGTCGTGTTCAGTCGTTTGTATACCAGATGTAGACTGTTGTTTATTTACTTTGTATATACTTGCCCACTATTAATGTACTTAACGTACACTAGCCAGTGATTTCTGTACTCAGAGTATGCTAGCTAATTGCTTATTTATTCGGTGTACACTTGCCAATTGTTTGTGACTTGGTGTATGCTAGCCAGTCGTTTGAGCTCTGCGTGTACATTACCCAATCTGTGAATTTTTTTATATATAGCCAACCTGTGTACTTTGTATACATTAGCCAGTCATTTCTGTACTCGAGTATTCTAGCCAATCATGTTTCTAAACTCCATGTGTTAGCCAATTGTATGTGATATAAGCTGATTAAAACTGATTCACTTATACTAATCACAAACAGCATCATGAAATCAGGATTTGTCCATGTATTGATGAATTGAGAGCTGGAGAACTTTTGTGAATAAAAGTACATCTGTACGTTACCAAAGTACCAGGTTGTATTGCCTAGAGCTATAAGAAAACATATACAGTATACATGTAATACTAAACATACGCAACATCTACCTGCATGTTTTGCATATGTTACAATATGTACAAAGTACTTGTACTAATTATGCCAAGCATTACACTACTTTTTTTAGCTCACAGGTGTGACATTTTCATAGCTCTAGAGGAGCCTGCTTTAGGATATAGGTCACACATGTATACTATTGACATGGGGGCCATTTGTAAATAGAGGTTCACAGAAGGTTTAGCTTCATCATGCAGGTGCATTACTGTATGTCTGTATGATGACACAATTGTTTATATTAAGGCTTAACAATATATTTTTGATGGTGCGGGATTGTTCACAGACATTATATCATCTACAATAGATTACAGATACTACATACAGCAGAACCTCAATACTAAAGATCAACAACAGATCCTAGCTACTATATATCATCCACAACAGATCCTAGCTACTATATATCATCCTAGCTACTATATATCATCCACAACATATCCTAGCTACTATATATCATCCACAACAGATCCTAGCTACTATATATCATCAACAACAGATCCTAGCTACTATATATCATCAGCAACAAATCCTAGCTACTATATATCATCCACAACAGATCCTAGCTACTATATATCATCAGCAACAGATCCTAGCTACTATATATCATCCACAACAGATCCTAGCTACTATATATCATCCACAACAGATCCTAGCTACTATATATCATCTACAACAGATCCTAGCTACTATATATCATCCACAACAGATCCTAGCTACTATATATCATCCACAACAGATCCTAGCTACTATATATCATCCACAACAGATCCTAGCTACTATATATCATCAACAACAGATCCTAGCTACTATATATCATCAGCAACAAATCCTAGCTACTATATATCATCCACAACAGATCCTAGCTACTATATATCATCCTAGCTACTATATATCATCAACAACAGATCCTAGCTACTATATATCATCAGCAACAAATCCTAGCTACTATATATCATCCACAACAGATCCTAGCTACTATATATCATCCTAGCTACTATATATCATCCACAACAGATCCTAGCTACTATATATCATCCACAACAGATCCTAGCTACTATATATCATCAACAACAGATCCTAGCTACTATATATCATCAGCAACAGATCCTAGCTACTATATATCATCCACAACAGATCCTAGCTACTATATATCATCCTAGCTACTATATATCATCAACAACAGATCCTAGCTACTATATATCATCAGCAACAAATCCTAGCTACTAGATATCATCCACAACAGATCCTAGCTACTATATATCATCAGCAACAGATCCTAGCTACTATATATCATCCACAACAGATCCTAGCTACTATATATCATCCTAGCTACTATATATCATCCACAACAGATCCTAGCTACTATATATCATCCACAACAGTTCCTAAATACTATATATCATCCACAACTTGTCTGAACAATCAAGACTCATTTGAATCCACCATTGTATGTATAAAATATAGTGTTACTCTAAGGTGTCTGTCCCCACATCCTGTCCTGGTCCCTTTCTGAATCAATGACATATCTTTCTCTAGAAGATGATAGTGGGTTTTACGTTTATGTTGAAATTTCATACATCATTTTATTATTTTTGATGGTTTGACAAATGACATACATGTCCTTTGATGTGCAGACTGAAATGAAAAATATATTAAATTATGGAGATTAATAACACTTGTCTTTAAAGTAAGTTCTGAACATCATGAAATTAGCTAATTTTATTGTTGAAAACAATGTATGAACTGTCACTCTTTGATAATGTATTTCACATGTGGATGATATCATTTCACAATCATGGTTATCTCAATGACATCAGAATAGACTATATAACACAAGCTTATTAGCAAAGACATTTCTTTGGCTATGTGTGGCGATCATGTGATGGGTAAAAATCAAATTAAACTGAAGGTTACAAAACTAAAGAGTGTGTTAAAAATTAAATACTTTGTAGATCAGACATGTGTTTGGTTGTATGTTGTAAATTGTACCTGGTTGGTAATTGGTATTAAACCTTTTAAATGTTATGTGCTCACACAACAGGGAAAACTATCAATTTATTTTAAAAAAAAGGTGATAATACATGTTATATTAAGACTGATTTGATTAAAGTTTATAAAAGTCATGTTTTATGGCAGCAGGGGGTCACAACCTCAGAGATAAAGATGTACCAGTATGTCAAAGAATTTTTAGAAATAAAATACGTAAATATGAAACTAGTACAGAAGATATGGAACATGTCACAACTGTCCTGAGGAAGCATGATTTAAATTAACGATAACAGCGGGGAAAAATGAGTAAAATAAATGATGATAATAATTATCTTTGGGTACACAGAATTGAACGATATATTACAGATGTTAGGGCTGTGATTTCATGTGTTGGGACTCTGACAAGCTTATCCTTCAATCCTGGCCAAACTGTCTGATATTTCCTTATTGTTCTATTTAGGCCCACATCAAAGGGACAAATGTGTCACTGTTACTTCTACATTTTGTTCCGTCATCAATGGAATCACAACTTTTACATCAGATCACAGGTGTACCAGCATACATATTTGATTATCTGTAACATGTTGTATTTTGACAAAGAATTAATAAAAAAAAATTCTGTTTTGAAGATTTAGAAATAAAGGCTTAATTTAAATGATTTTAATTTACACTGTAAGAAAATATATCAATTCTACGAGCAATTTACACATGAAAGTTGATAAATGAAGGTCTACTGCCTTTGCAAATTAATTACAAACATTCATAGCTGCATATAAGATATATAATACAATTATGAAATAAGTTTGATCAGTTTGTATTCAACCCTCTTGTTAGCATGGATGACAGCGGTTCAAGGCTTCAAATAGAGTTCCGAAAAAAAAACCAACAAGGCCCTTTAGGCAACTCCATACTTTTCAATGTCCCTAGAGGAATGATATCCTTGTCTTCTGTAAATCAATCAGTCTGGGAATATACTTGTTCAGGTTTTGGTGTAAATTAATTCGAGTTGAAAATCCTGTACATAGAATATTTAAGACATTGCAGATATTTAATGCAATAAGTTGTGAAATATTTTTGAAAGAAATATTTTAAAAGAATGAATGAAATAATTGTAATGAAGTGGAAAAGATCCAGATTGTTGATCATACTGCACTCTATGCAGTCCTCATGTACTCTTCAGATTCAGAAGTTAAAAACAGCTGTTAGTGATAGCCATCTTGTCATCTGTGGGTGCTAATTTACATTGAAAACTATTGCCCTAAATACACTGTTAGACTGTATCCAGATCAAAGCTGGAGTCAAGTCTGCAGTGGTTGACTCTCCCTCAGGAAATAGAAATGAGAAGGGTACTAGCTGGACTCGGTGTAGGACCTGGGACTAATTCCTGGAGTCAGCTTGTCGTTTTGAAGTCATGTTTTCAAAGAGATCTCTGTAGAGTCAGTTTCATGAACTCTTTCAGAACTCTCCTGTTCAGGAAATTAATACTATATTTTCATTTGATGTAAAAAATAGCTATTGACCATATGCTTAATATATTTTCATGGTAAATAAATCATGAATAAGAATTGGTTCCTTGAAGAAAGGCTGTATGTTGTTACCTAATAAATGTGGCCTTTCTAACCTTCTATTGATGTGAGGAAAGTCTGACTATTGATGTACACCTGATTATTACCTTTGGTTGTTTGTTTTTTTTTAGGTGTAAAATTACCTCAGTAAAATGTGGCTGTGGAGACAAGGATATATTTTGGTGCAAACATGTGGTGGCTTTGTCCTTATATCGGATACGGAAAGCAGAAAGTGTACAACTCAGGGTCCCTATATCAGGTACGTATATGGCACCTCTCTATACTGACATCTAATTCTTCCAATATAAGGTATGTACAGGATACCTGTCTATACTGATATCTAACATGTATCTATATGTTTATGTGTCTCTTGTCTATACACACTCAAAATTAGTTGATATCTCTATATAAATTATGTAAAGATTTATATGTACATAGATACACAAATATTATTTCTGTCTTCTACTTACCAATTGTTTATCGATCTACAGAGACACTGTGAACACAGATATATTGGGACATCAGAGTACCTGTGTTTCTGATACAAGTTTAGAAATGTCAGGTTCATATAATGTACAAGTATAAAATTCCCTGCTGGTAGTTAAGTAATTCTAGATTGAAGTAAATGTCATTTGGTATTTTTGAAAAATTGATGAAGACATTTGATCTACCATTATAGATTACAATATTATTTGCCTTTATCATGTATGTTGGCCTTACAATGAGTTGACTGATTACTAGAAATCTGTCAGGAAAGTTACCATGTTCAGATTGATTCAGTCAGCCTCATTAACATACAACCTGATAATGAGATGTAAACCACGTCCACCTTCATGGTCCGTTGACTCCAATCAATAATACGCAAGTCACGAAAGGGAGGGGATGACCCTACATATGCAAAATGAAAGATAAATTAGCTGAAAGAAAAAATGATGAAAGAATGGTTTGACCTCATCCTCCCATAGTTTCTGTATACTTCATTTGACTAGTGTATAATTTCTCATCATTACTCATTATGATCCTATTGTTTGTTTGGATTAGGAATTGCCGTTGTTACCAGAAATTACTGTCCCCTTTGGGACCATGACTTTACACTCTACTAATCTTCTATTGATTTTCACGAGTTTTCAGGAAATTTCTGTATGGTAATGGGTACAGTAGCCATTTACATGTTATAAAATATCGTAATCATCCCTTTATAGAAAAGGATCATTAATAAATCATGATGTTTGTGCATCCCTAAATAGCTCTGTTGTTGACTTGAATTTGTAATGGATTTTTTCCTTTTTTTAAAACAAATGTCCAATATCTATAAAGAAGTTGACATATCACATCTTCAGAGAGTATATATTAATATGACAAGAATTCAGATATTTATATGGGAGTTCAACTGCATCATGTAATTTTTTGTTGTAAATTGTAAAATGATAAATTTCTCACTTCTCTGGTTTTTAGTTATCTTTTTGTTTGGTTAGAGATTCCAGGAAAACAATAATATATTTTAATGTCTTTGTTCTAGAAGCAAGTTACATTGTTAACAGACAGTCACAAATTTCCAAGTTTTTTTTTTTTTTTTTTGTATATCATTCAGGACTCAACCTATATTAGTCATAGTCTGCATTTAGCACTTACTTGGGATTGTACAGACAAAAATTTTGATAAAAGTAGTAACGGCTATTCTGTTACAAACGAATTGAATTCTAAAAATGAACGCACTTTAAATAGCAAGGAATTTTTTACTTGTACATACAGTTAGCATGGCCGTCAATTTTTCTTTTCTGTACAGAACATTTTTTGTTTTTCCTTTACAGAAACACTTTTACAGATGAGTCGGGAACAACTACAGAAGTTTGCACAGTATTTAATAGCAGAACATCACTCAGAGGTCCTTCCAACTGCACAGAAAATAGCTGATGAAATTCTGTGTGCAAAATCAGAGATCAACCTTCTTCCAGGTATGTATTGTGTGGTAAGGATTCCTGACATAACCCGTAATTTCTGGTATGTTTTGTGTGGTAACAATTTCTGATAAAACAAGCGACAACTGGTATGTGTTTGATGGAAAACAATTTCTTATGTAACAAGTGACAACTGGTATGTGTTTTATGGAAAGCAATTTCTGATGTAACAAGTGACAACTGGTATGTGTTTTTATGGAAGACAATTTCTGATGTAACAAGTGACAACTGGTATGTGTTTTTATGGAAGACAATTTCTGAAGTGAGTAACAACTTCTGGTTTCAACAAGCTACAACCAAACTTTCGGTACTTCTCGGCTCCTTATAAAGTTTTAAAGCTTTTTCAACACAAACTATTCAAATCGCAAAGAAAGATTACATCATTGTACAGAAACTTGGTCAGAAAAGCATTAGAGTGAAAAATTTTTAAAGAGCACATTTTGTTTGAGGTGTTTTTTCCCCCATTTCTTGGGTCAAGAGAATTGAAGGCAGATTGTTGTGTTTTTGTGTAAGCTATGAAATAGATACTGCAGGCTGGATTCCCAAAATGATACGATCAGTGTAAAGTACTCTGAAAGTTAGCCAGAATACATTTCACGTTTATAAGAAAAATCTTGTTTATCTCTATGCCAGTCATGTAATCTTTTAGTATCCATTTTCAAACAAATCCGAGGCCTGGAACATTCTTATGAGAAAAGGTGTACATTTATTCAGTCATTGTAAATTTGATATCTAGGGATCAGGTTTTAGTTGACTGTGTATGAATTTGGACTACATGGTCATAACATTTGGTATTCCCTCGCTACTTACACAGTAGAGCGAGGTTAAAACCATCATACACTTGATGGGCTTTAGGTGTAATGTCAGTGGAAATTGTCTGTATACTGTCTCCAGACTTTCTAAAGAGCGTCTGCCAAGTGCCTGCAAACAGTCTTCAGCCTTTCTAAAGACAAATCCTAAACAGTCAAGTCATGCTTTTTACATATTAGAATTTGTGGATTCTTAACCCTTAGATTACAGTGGACTCCACCATTTTTTGATTTGTAGTACCAAGTGTGCCTGATTTAGGGGTGATCAAGTTAAAAACGCATCAATTTTGTGATGTTTCCAGTGCTAAATACAAAGATTTTTTCCTGACTGGTGTGATTGTACACCTTTGTGTAATGTTCTTCTTGGTGAAATCCTTATCTGAATAGACCAATTGCCTAACTCATTTTACGCTTTTCAAAGTCATTCATTGTGTAAGGAAAACCATACACCTCTAGATGAAGATCTGAGAATCCTACGATGAAAGTAACCCCTATCCTGGACAAAAAATGCCAAACAAATGCCGTAAAAAGCCAATCATTTGAGGTAAATTAAAATCGACAATGAGAGCTTAAATAGGCGACTTTGGTACCGGGCAGTCGAACCGCACTAATGCCATGTTGTCAGGCTATTTCTATAGATAAATGGAACCAGTCAAGAATATCCTAGACTTTGATAAAATCTAAGTAATGAAAATATTCGTTATCATAAAAGAAAACCTGACTTGGTATACATTTTAACTTTTATATGTGTAAACATATACAATAAAGTCAGCGAGCCAGATAAACTTCTTTATCAAATGTTATAAAATACGGACTACATTAGTGGGTAACAGATGGACGTTATAAAGGTAGGTTCAGACTAAACATAGGCAGCATTTGTCAATGATGAAAGGTTCTCAGTTATGGTTAAAAATGTAATACAGATTACAATTGCCTTGTTGTGTATTGTACAAGTCAATGTACTTTTAATGTTCAAATGTTGATGTGAAAGTCGCATTTAGTTAAGTAGAGGATATGGAATAGTTCAGTTTGGCACAATCTGTCGCTAATTGCTGCTTTTGTCTTGTGAGATAATAATATTGTAAAATAGTTTTACTCTTTGAGAAGATTATACAGGAAATAAGATGGAAAATTGTCATCCAACCAAAAAAATAAGAGGAAATGTAGGAGATATTGTATATGTTTGAACTTTTTGAGTTGATTGTGAAGGAAATCAGACAGAAAATTTCCTTTCAGAACGTATTAAAGAGAAAAAATGACATTTTAACGGCTCTGAGATTAAGATAGTCGTATTATATTTGAGGTACTTTGCTCACCAGAGCTTTATGGAAATTAAATGCACAGTAAGAAGTTTAAGGAAATTTCCTTTGAGGATCGCCTGTTTGAACTTACACTAGACAGGAATGAGGCTATTTTTGGACCAAAAAAAATCAACCTTTTGGTAGGTCATTGTCAAGTGTTTCACTGGATGCAAGTAGTGTCTGATGTATTCCACCATTTGAACTATATCATGTTTTAATTCATCAGTTGAAGGCGATAATTAATCATTAATATCGGGTAAAAAGTAGTGTATCTGCACATACATCAGTGTGGAGATCAGATTGATACTGATGAATTATAAAAAAATTTTTATCTTATGTTGAAAATTAACAGTATTACCACTTGATCAAATGTTGCAGCTCATTACAGCATATAATTTGACTTATTTGGTGTTCCAAAACCATAACCATGGAAACACTTTTGAGGTTTCTGATGGGTCGAAATTAAGATATTAACCAATAAAGTTGAAAATTGGGTTTAAAATGTTTAGGAGGATGATATATACAATGATACCATTTTTCGAAAAAAGAAATTTTTTCCACTTGGAGTGGGGTATAAGTCCGCCATCCTGGCGACAGTTCTTATTTAGTGAATTTTCGGAATGCTAAAGTTGGATAACACTTTGACTGATATCATTATGAAGTTGTCCAGCTGTGATTAATAGGGAAGCATTTGATAGGTGTCCTGTAGTTTCAGTTTATTTAGACAGGGATTCTGCTAGTACTTTATGGGAATGTTTATATATAGCTAGCTGTATATGAATGGTTTTATATGATGAAATGATTATCATATTTGGACATGGGTATAAGTATGTTTTAATTATGGAGACTTTAAATAAAGTTTAAAAGGCAATCTAGTAAAAGTCAAATCTTTGTTAACAAAAGAAAAAAAAAACACACTTTCTTTAATACAACTTTGTCTTTATTGGTATGGACGGTATATAGCTGTGTTAGGAACTCATATGGGAAAGAAGTAAAGAACTTTATAATTCATACAAAGAAACAACATCTTTAATGTCTCTGCGCTTTACTGTTTTGCACTGATCCAGGCAATAGCTATGTATTCCCTGATCAATCTATGTCCATACATATGTTAACATGTGGTCTTCCCGAAAGGATGAGGAGAATAAAGCTAGCCCATTGCACAGTTACACTAAACACACAGACAACCACATCAAATAGATCTTTGGGGAGGATTTTGAGGCTGGTTATCCGGAACTTTGGAAAAAACGGAAAGGTCAGGATGTTCTAGGCAAGCAAAGCGTATCCAATAATGTTGATTGGAGCTTATCAATAGTGGCCCGGTACAAACTCCATACATCTTGTTCGTTTTAACTGGAAATACTTTAATATCAACACTAGACACAAGAATTAGTGTGTATCCCTGTGTTATAAGCGGTGTGTACCTAATGCCTCTCTTTAATTGGCGAATGCCCGCAGAATTTTGTGTATCATCAAGTCCAGGTCAAGTCCTGTTCACAGCAACTTCCAATACCAAAATGATGATGGCAGAGGCTGAAGGGATGGCCTGCCGATCTCACTAAGCTCCAGACCAAAAACACTCTCTCTAGTTTACATTAGACAGACATATGGAAATGTAACTGCATCAGAAATCCCAGAGGGGGTTTACGTCAAAATGTGCCAGCTCTGGGAAGTCCATTTCCTATACATCAGCAGAAGTATTCACATGTTTTAAAAAAAAAATGTAAAAAAAATGTCATGAACCCTGAACTCATTTTGTGGTAAGTGGTCTTGTGATGTGCCCTATGAGGTCATAGTTGATCGTCATGGCCCCTTGTCATTTGGTCATGTGATGGTGGCAGGTCAATCAGGGTGGCCCCATGGTGCCAGGTTGTTTAGGGCAGATTATGTTTCCGTCTATGTGTTTGTGTAATGTTCAGGGCCCTGAAGGGGGAAGGAAAAGTATTGGATCCCTGTGTTCAAGTGCTGTGTACTTGAGGCTGTACCTATTGGCATTGTGGCTTTCCTTGAGTTATATGTACTGTGTCCACTGATACAACCAGCCAGGCAGTCAGCCATCTGTAGGGTATCCAGCCCTATCCCTTATATATAGATTAGATTAGACAGAGTGAGCAGGCATTTCCATGCCCTAAGTGTCACACACCATGCAAACGCCTGTTACACCTCAAGTTTTTCTCCCTCCATACTGGTGTCTGATGACACGCCAGAGTCAGCTTGAACTGTATAGTCCTCATCACCATTGATTTGAATTGTGAATTAGATATCCTTTTTTGCTGTCTCCCCAGAGCTACATGTAGAAGTACATGTAGTCAGGTTTACAGTACATGGGCTAGTCTAGCTCTGTGGGCAGCCTGGCCACAGTTTTATAAAATGAGTATGTGGCATGGTAAAGCATAATGCTGATCATCTGGTACAGACTTGATTTTAGAGGAGAGGCCCCAGTGGAGGAAGTGTTTTGTAGGCCCACTAAAACCATCGCCAGACGGTACATGTATCCCTCAGGGTACAAATTCATTTAGCTAAATTAAACGATCACATTTTTAGCTTTTAGCATGTACAGTGTGTAAACAGTATTATTCTTGATAAATTACACCAATAGGGAAATTCAGAGATTAAAAACTGTAAATCATCAGGTTAAAAAAAAAAGATATTGTGGTTTGAATAAATATTGTGCGAAAGTGATATGACAGAATTATGATTTTATTCCATTAATGTGTAAATTTGAAAAAGGTATGCCTATTTGTTACAAAAAAAAAACAGGTTTTTACTGACATTCCACATGTGACTTATTGTTTTGAAATGCCAGTGCAATATTTTCTTTATTTATGGACATTTTTTAGACATCAGCTACCTTTCATCTCAGGAAAACACCTGAAGTACACATTATCTTATCAGATTTAATAGTTTTGATAAAAATCATCAATTTCCTCTACAGCTTCTTCATTCCTTTTAATAGAAAGTTTTCTGATAGTCTTTTTATATTAACACTTGACTACACTGACGTCAGTGTGGTTTACCCCCTAATAGCGGTTTACTGCATCAGGGGAGATAATTGAAGGTCATAATGACATGGCAATCCCAAGTAAGGTGATCCACCTAATAATAGACTAGGTAAATGTTCAATGAAAATCTAGAAATTCAATATAAAATCCACAATGTACATTGTACTTATAGGAGTGGTTTTGTTTGTGAAGTAAGCCTGATATTGACATTATGTTATCTACATATAGGTACACAGTTAGAGTTTAGTGTTGGCACTAGATCCCTGTCTGCTCTCTTTCACAGAATCCTGTACACATGTCGGCATATAGCAAATAATATATCAATATGCTGCAAAAGAAAAAAAAAATAAATTTCATATATTTTTTTTAATATTTCTATGTTGTAAAAATGATAAGGATTAGGAAAACATACCTGGTAAAGACAGTGTTTAGTGGAACTGCATTACATTTTGACATAAACAAAAGTTTGAAATTGTTGTTCATTGTACGATTTCTTTGCAGAGAATACTTATATTAACCATATTCACATGTGTCTCGGGATGGAACTGTATCACAAAACAGAAAGACCTGAAATAAGTAACAACAGTGACATCAGACAAACAATTAATATAAACATAGATTGATTTTTATTTAAGTTTTAGCAAAATTACAGTATCAATGGCTTTTGAGGCATTTTTTAAAAAAGGAAAAATTGTCCAATGGTGTTACTGATTGCTTACAGTTTTAACAGACAAACTGGTTATTTGCTCCATTCATTGAAACATATTTTTCTGCAACTCCAAATGCCTGCAGGGGATTTTACCAGATCTTAATTTGAAGATTTTTTTATCCTTTTCTTACCTGTACATAGTTAGCTAACAACTGTAGGTTTACAAGACTTAGAGATAAGGGGTATGACAGAGATATTCCTACATTATAACTGTTCTATTCTGGTTACAAACACACTGATAAATACATTTGAATTGTTTAAATTAGACAAAAATATCATTGAGAGATTGTTTAAGTATTACATTGAACCTGTTACACAAAACAAGTCCTGTTTTGAATCAAATGCAAATCTGTTTTAAATGCACGATTTTATTGAGCTGTACTTTGTAACAGATTATACAAGCTTGATGTCTACTGGAATAACTCAATTTGTGCATAAAGTTTGGCTAGTGGTCTGTTAAAACCTTTTCTTGTATAAAAGAATAAAATCCAATTTCTGTCGAGTCCTTCTGTTCTGGATAATACTGATTATCTGACCATGAACACTTAACTGAAATGAGGTGATCAGTCTTACCTTGTGAGGTTTGATGCTTTGTTCTTTAATAAGTATTGGATTCCATCAACCGTACAACACAGAGAAAAACATTTTTGGTTAATTGTTCATGGGAGAAAACTCTTCAGTATTATAATCAAGATTACAGTGTTAAAGCTGGATTTATCAAAGTGCAAAGCCATCAGCTTTAGTATTAGTCTTATAGACATTTCAGGCAAGTCGATCTCTGTAAATTCTTTTTCTTTCAAAGAGGACATTTGTGAATTGTTTGGAAATGCGATTTGTATTGTGCCAATACTGTTAGCGGCCTCACACGCTTGGTACACATGAGTTGAATGTTTCGTCAACATTCATTAGTTTATTTTAGCCAAGGCCATTGAAAATTTGCTTTGAGGTATGCAGAATTTCATTAAAGTGTTCAAACCTAGCTTAGGTGAAATCTCAATGTTGCCATTTAATTGGATGATTCAGCTGCTAGGGATTGTATTTAGGAAAATAATGTGTTTCATTGAGGTGAAAAGTAGTTACAGAATTGCTATTATGTAGAAATTTGTATAACTCAAGTAAAATATTTAAATTCATTGACTAACATCTAATTAAATTTTCTAGTTTGTTTAAATAGATTGTCTCTGTGTGGTGAATCTTAATAAAGCACCACAGCTATTCTGTATTCACATTGTGACCATGACAACCTTGGTTAACCCAAATGACCTTTAATGGCAAAACATGAGATGACCTTTTGTTGACCTTTGACATTGCTCATTCATCAGACGATGACTAGACATTGACAGACATCAGTAAGGTGTGGGAACGGATGAGTGTTGGTATTTCCTGGAAATTTTCACTTCACTTCAGCGTAACACTATGATGGTTACTGTATACACTGTACTTAAAGTCATTGACGGGACTTAATGGTTTTATTTATTTTTCTTCCTCCAAATTACTGTTTGCTTCATGAGTCATAGAATTATGATAAATACAACACTGATTAAGAAAGCTTTGTGAAAGTCGATGTAAAAGTCCTATATAAATGAAGATGTAGATAAGGGGCCTGTATTTGGGGTGATGAAAGGGGGAGGTAATCATCATGTGTAATGGAGCAGGGAATCTATTGGGGCACATTGTCATTGACACAATGTGATATCTGTGGCCATCAAGTGACCAGCAGTGTAGCTGACCTATTGCCCAGATGTCCCAGGTGGTTTTCAGGTCAGCATCGTTTATTTTTTGACTGAGTCACTATCTTTAACAAAGTAGATGACTGTCTGTCGCCTTGATAATACCACTAATCTATGGAGTGATATTTTAAAGGACAGTGTCGCTAAAACTCAGAATGGTGACTGACCATGGTGCTGAGTCTTGGATTATGTCTAAGAGTATTCACATAACAGGAACATATGTGGTAATATTTACAATTTGAAGAAGAGGGTTCTTTTTCTTCAATAACTTCTGATATTTTGAAATCAACAACGAAGGTAATTCTATTTAAGACACAGATTTGTGAAATGTATTTAGTAAAGAATTATGATCTTAATCAATAAAGTAAACAATAGTTTATATATTTGTTAGGTTTTTTTATACTCACATATATGATGACTAATATTATGTTCTGTTACTTTCTTATTTATTTGATTGTGTTTGTACTGATGTGTGTGTGATAACACATGTGGTGTTAACTCTTTTATCTTTGCTCATGTAATTTGTTTTTATGTGTTATATGGGATTTTGAATATGTCATCCTGTCCATAAATCGGCCACTGAGAATGGGTCAGAGAACTTTATCCAGTAGCTTTGTACTTTTATATTTTATGGGGCTAGAATAGTGATTATTCTCTGTTCTCGCTTGGTGTGGATGATGAAACTCGTTGAGAATTGGTACGGAGACTCGAGACGCGAACATTTTGACACTTCACATGCTAAGTCGGACCAACTGGATGTAATAGGGATTAATTATTGATTGTAATTAGTCTATGACATCAGTGATGTTTAGGTTTAGACCTCCCCAGGCTGTGCTAATTACCCCCCTTGGTTTATATTTCACAGGTGCTCCTGACCCAACCGCTGGGGCTTCTGTGGATGATGACAATAGCTGGCATTTAGATGAAGAACAAGTACGGGAAACTGTGCGATCCTACCTGTCTCAAGATGGCTACATTACAGTGTCAAACCAACTCACCTTTATGTTTGCAAAGGTACTCACCACCTCTTTCATGCTTGACAAAAGTACACCTCTCTTATTTTTGTACGCCCAAGGAAACAGTATCAAAATTGATCCTGCAGTTGCAATGTAAATAAATGAATAGATTGTCCATGTCTTCAAATTTGTTTTCAGAATAAAAATGTTCCTGTATCATGAAATTTTAAGTTAATTTCCCCATCACTTTTAGGGGATGGTTCATGTTTTGTTGTGGGTATATCTTGTGGCTTCCATTCTGTAAGGGCTTTGATAAAAATTGATAAATGTACTTTAAAACAAAAATACAGAATATGAATTTCTGGTAAGAATTTGCCCAATATACAGTTTGATGAAAATATACCTAAGGGTAGTCAATGCCTTTTATATCTGTATGTGCGGCCTTGTACTTGATGGTTTGTTGTGTCATTTCCCTGTACATACCTGAGTTCTTTGTCCTGTATATACCTGTGTTTTATGCCCTGTACATACCTGAGTTCTTTGTCCTGTATATACCTGTGTTTTATGCCCTGTACATGCCTGAGTTCTTTGTCCTGTATATACCTGTGTTTTATGCCTGTACATGCCTGAGTTCTTTGTCCTGTATATACCTGTGTTTTATGTCCTGTACATACCTGAGTTCCTTGTCCTGTATATACCTGTGTTTTATGCCCTGTACATACCTGTGTTGTTTGTCCTGTATATACCTGTGTTTTATGCCCTGTACATACCTGAGTTCTTTGTCCTGTATATACCTGTGTTTTATGCCCTGTATATACCTGTATTGTTTGTGTAACATAACATACCTGTGTAAGTTTGCCCATAATAATGTGTGTAAAATTACCCATTACACCTATGGTAAATTTGTGGAGGCTACCATGTGAAAGCTTGAACCAGTTGGAAGTGGTTGCTGTCTTTGTATAATGAGCAGTGTACTCACAGCTGGCGGTCTTCTCCCACTTTGATGTGGCTTATTACTTGACAGGTAGACAATACACCTGTATGGATTGTCATACAGCATCACTTCATGCTACCTTGTCTTTAGTCACGTAAATCAATACTCAGTGATATTCGGAAATTCTCACAGGCAAAAATGAGAGTGATTAGTGATGCCTAATTGTGAAAATTACCCTAGTTGTTCAGTACATCCTTTGTGTTACTGACGATAGTTGTGATAAAGTTCTTTTGGCACACATTTATATAGCCGCTGGTCCTACATGAGAGAACAAGTCCTAGTTTAGGTCCAAACTTAATTGGCCGTTGTTGTAGATTTAATCGTCATTTTGAATTAATCATTTATTGATTTCCTGTACTGAATGGTATTTGTACTGGCTAGACTGTTATTTATTGTTACGTGAGTCAATCAGTTATTGATTCATGAACACTGACTGTAGGCTGTGGCATCATGCAAAGCTTATAGGAGTATTTGATGTTGAAAAGTCAATGAGTATGACTTTAGTGTGTAAGGCTTATTGTATTTTTCTGACAAAATGACTAAAAAAATGGCCAAGTTCTGAGTGCCGGAAGAGACAGCAGGTGCTTTCCAAAATATGCTTTCAGGTTTTCTTTCTGTAATGTTTGGCCTTCAAAGAATTTTTACTGCTTTTGAGCTTAAATTTCAGTAAGAAAACATAAGTATGTGACATTCTTATCTTGATTAATAAGAATAATAAAAGATCTTATAAAAAAAAGTTACAAAGTTAAAGTCATGTGTTCATGCGACAATGTTTATTATTACCAAAGTACTTATGTGTGTGTTTCCTATTACATTGAATTGTTCTAATTCTATCTAGGAATTTGTTCTTGGGTTGATGTAGGTACTGCTGTAAGTGATAACCCCACTCTAGTATACTGCTGTTTTGTAAAGTTCTTAATGTCACTGGTATTTCCACTACAAAGCCCAGCCCTTAACTTTGAGTAAGAAGCAATATGTTGGTTCCAGAATATATATGTAAATACAGTTTTATTTATCACTGGCATCTGAAATTTGTAATGTGGGTCCTTTGTCTGATGATAGGTGCGAGAAATGCTGCGTGCAAGGGACTCAAATGGTGCTAGAATGTTGACACTGATCACGGAACAGTTCCTGGCTGACCCTCGCCTACTGGTCTGGAAGTCTCAAGGTCAACCAATGACGGATAAGTGTCGACAACTGTGGGATGAACTAGGTTAGTCTTCCCACACTGCCAACATCAAAGGCTATTGTATCATTTGTCTTCTGTTTTGTAGATGATGTGACAAACATAGCCTGCATATAGATTCTTTGAAACAAAGACTACATCTGAAGACTCCATTATTGCTAAGTTTGTAAAGAGAAATCAAGATTTTATCAAAATGTTATTAAATGGGGATTATTCTCAAACCTGACAAATTCCTTACAAGTCTTTTATTCTGCATAACAATGTGAATCAGCTTGTTTTTTTCTTACATGTTTTATTACATAGTTACTCAATGTTTACTCTCATTAAGTCCACACATAAGTAAACATGCCATGATGATGTTGGTATACACTGGCAGACTTACATATATTGTGATATATTGTACTACAGGTGCTCTCTGGGTGTGCGTTGTGCTCAATCCTAACTCCACCATGCAGGACAAGGACCACTGGCAGAAGCTACTGGACGAGTGGTCATCATGTCCAGTGTGTCCACTGGAGGATGCTGATGTCCGACATGCAGGAGATTTAACTCTCACCAATATGGGACTCAGTAACTCAGGTAAGGTTGTGACTGGTTTTACCTGCAGCTAATGATTGTCAATATTCATTTACCCAGGAATTACCAGATTCTAGGAATACAATCATTTGTGTCACAAGGGATGCCAAGCAGGATGAAGTACAATCATTGGTGGGCATATAATCATGATGTACAACCACAGAGCTCTTATTACTTAATAAAGTGTGGAAGTTAATTATATCAGTAACCCAGCCTACCTAGACGTGCATGAAATTTGCTGTAAGGTTAATGTCTTTAACAATAGTGTGCTCTTCATAATTCAGCATAATTCTGCTTCTCTGAATCAGTGCAAAGGGACTGAAATTTCTGAAGAATACAAAGGGAACATGTAATAAGAATTTCTCCTCAGATGTGATGTAACGTTATTGTTGGTTTATTGATCTTTATTAGGTCCCTACTCTAATAAACCACGTAAGATTTTCCACCGTGCCCTGACGGCCAGCAAGCTTACCTGGGAGGACAAACACCTCCAGCTGGTTCTGAGGGAGGACTACTGTCACTGTCTCCACAATTACCAGTTTGATCTCTTTGACCAGCAGGGCTTCCCCCTCTGGAATGGTAAGTCAGTTTTGATGGTTACTAGCTAAGTGACAACTAAACAAATACTGTTATACAGGAATTTATGTTTTGTGTGCAACCCTCATTCCAGTTGTTCTTGAAAACTATATTGAACAATTTAAAAGCAACTCCACTTTCTAAAGATACATAAAAAAAATAGTATTGATAGTAATTTTCAGACAAATTTTCATTTCCAGAACACTTTCCAACTGCATGTGCCAGAGTAGATGCTTTACGTTCCCATGGTTACATAAAAGAGTCTCTACGATTGGCTGTCAGTATAGTAAGGTCATTAAAAAAGAAACAGAAGTACAACCAGCAGGTATATAAAAGTCACAGTGAGGAGACACCTAGTACCAGTCGTGGGTCCTGGAAAAAGCCACCACAGACCAATAATACAGAGGGATGGATAGGCCATGCATTGGATCCTCTGGGAGTACTTTTCGATACACTCATGGAAGCATCTATCAACACAGAAGACCCCACCCCTACAGGTAGTATGACCTGTGATATTGTTTCTTGTCTCAAAATAGCACTGTAAGACTTTGGTACTTTTTATTACCATCCTTCTGCAGGGAATCACTTTCATCTTAAATCTCTCCCCTGTTGTAATCTTGTTATATTAGTAATAAGTTTATTAAACAGAGTCGTACAAAGGCATTTTACTGTTAATGATGAATGCAAAGCAAGATAGGATATATTCATTGTGGAAAAGGTAAAAATTAAACATTCTGACTTTTTTCTATCCTCTATATATCATTGTTTTCGACAGATCCTCTCAGCAGTCGTTTATTTGCTGGTGAAACCCCAAGCTGTCTACCTCCTCGTTACCACCACGTGGCAATCCCAGGGAATGGAGACCGCCATGAGTCGTATTTGACATATGCTTTGGAGGTGGCGCTGATTGGTCTGAGCCAACAGAGACAGATGCCAACAGGACTGTATGCCCAGGAAAAAGCATGTAAACAGGAAGAGAAACTCATTGCCAAACTACAAAGTGTGGAGCTTGACCCTACCCTGGTGTCTGTGTTTAGTAAACAGGCTGTCCTTATGTTGGAAGGTTTGTATACACTTATCATATGATCCTGATCAGTTAAAGCTTATCCTTTCTGATTCTGGTCACCTAGACTGACTTTTCCTAAACCATATAAATGAAATGTTATTTAAATTGTTTTACAGGAGGAAGTCACAGTGGACTTGGTATAGGAATTCATTCAGAAAGCTACCCTATGCACACATTTGCCAAGTTTCTCTTCAACAGTCTCTTGCCACATGACCAGGATCTGGCTTACAGGGTTGGCCTTCGTGCAATGAGGTATTAACAGAATATAAATTATGCATGTCATTTGGTTGGTTGAAGGTTTCCAATCTCCATAATTTTTGCTTCACTAGGTCTTAACAGTCAGCGTCAGTGTTCTGGCATACAAAAGAAAATTTGTATAGGCTGACAGTTACAGAAGTTTGCCCAGTAATGTTGTCTTTTTAACTTTCACGATGGTCATTTGCAATGGCTTTGATTGTACTGATTTAATATCAATGTATTTATGAACATGTATCATCAACTTTAAAAATGTTAGAATTTTAATCTCAATCTTGTTTTTTACCCATGAACCAGAACAATTCACCACGTGGTTGGAGAAAGTCTATAAATGGGAGGATGAATTAGAAATCTGAAATAAAAATTAAAGAATTATGAAAAATTGAATGCTGATATCATGGTTTTCAATACTTTTGATATGCAATATAACAGATTTTGATAAACAAGAATTGGACATTTAATGCAAAAGATGTGTTCTTTTTCACAGATTACCTGTTTTGGAAGATACAGAAGATATAGATGATGGATTAAACAATATCGGGTCAGCCATGCTCAGTCGCTTTCCTCGTTGGTTTATCCTCGGTCACATTGAGAGTAAACAGTGTGAGCTGTCCTGTACACTGCTGGCAGCAGCTAAGGGAGACATCAGAAGACTGCGCACAGTGCTGGAAGTAGCCCACAAACACATTCATAGCTCATCACAGCTCTTCAAACTTGCTCAGGATGTGTTCAAGATAGCCACACCTGCAGACACACCCAAACACATGGGTGCTCTGAATGCAGCCTTTGAACTTGGCTTACAGGTAGAGTTACCATGCGATCATAAAACTCAATATGATGAAGTTTTGAAATCTCACATATTTAATAGGTGTTTATGTAGTTACACAGCATTGTGTAAGATATGTATTATATATCATGATTAAGGCAAACCAAAATTTCATTTCTATGGAGGTGGGGTATGTTACAATGGTTAAATATGGCTGGTAGGTTTCCAAATAATGCTCACAATTGAACAATGCATCTAAAGGAAATACCTGTAAATTATATAAACCGATGTTATATATCGTTTTCCAGGTAATGAAGATGACACTTATGACGATGAATTGGCGTCGACGTGAGATGGTTCGATGGTTAGTGACCTGTGCAACAGAGGTCGGAGTTCAAGCATTGGTGTCAATCATGCAGAATTGGTACACCTTATTCCAGCCTATCGAGGCTACAGGAATGGTTGCTACCACAATAATGTCTCATACAACAATGATGCAGTTGAATGTTAATTATCACCAGCAAGAGGAGCTAGCCAACTGTGCACGGACGTTAGCTCTTCAGTGTGCTACCAAAGACCCACAGAATTGTGCGCTGTGTGCTCTCACCTTGTGTGAAAAGGACCCTGCAGCGTTTGAAACAGCCTATCAAATAGTCATAGAGGCTGCCTCCCACATCATGAACTCCAGTCAGTTATTTACGATAGCCCGGTACATGGAGCACCGAGGCTATCCGAATCGTGCATACAAACTTGCCCTTCTCGCCATGAAAAATCTACATCTCGCTTACAATCAGGACACTCATCCCGCCATCAACGACATTCATTGGGCATGTGTGCTAAGTCACTCTCTAGGTAAAAATGAACTAGCTAATGTCATTCCCGTCCTGGTTAAAAATGTTCAGTGTGCAACAGTGCTTTCAGACATTCTGCGGAGGTGCACATTGTCCGCTCCTGGCTTAGCCAGTCAGGATGGAAAGCGACGTGCCATCAAACTTTTATCATATGACAAGCTTCCTTTACGCCAGCTCATGGATGCCACGATACATGCCTATATTAGTACAACACATTCAAAACTCACACATATCAGTCCACGACACTATGGAGACTTCATAGAATTTCTAAGCAAAGCAAGAGAAACATTTCTTCTGGCTCAGGATGGACTTATCAAGTTTGCACAATTAATTGAAAATATGAAACTTGTTTATAAAGGCAAAAAGAAACTGATGTACCTCATCAAGGAGAGATTTGGGTTATGATGTCAGTTTCACAATGTCTGTCAACTGAGCTGATCATTCCATGGGTGTTCTGTGGGCGATGACACTTAGTGTCGGGCTGTCTCCTTGGTGCTGGGCAAGTCAATGTCATGTCTGGGATGTCCCTGGGATACACCAATATCTAGCATGCCCCTGCTTGCTTTAATTAAAGTTTACCTGTCTCTGGTGCTAGTCACATTGTAGGGGATATCCTCTATGAAGGGAACACAAGATGTGTTCCGAGTCTTGGTGTGGACAGTACATGATGACAATAGTGACCTGTGACCCGGATACATAAAATAGTGGGCTGTGCCATTACAGTCTACCTGTCTTATAAGCACCTGTATGGTTCTGGAAACCCTTGGACTGTACATGTGTAGGAGGACCATGTCCCTGATACAGATGACATGTGTATACAAGGAACACATACGTGTATTATATGGTGGAGAGGTGTAGTGATGGAGGGCAACCAGTTAAATGCCAGCCCAAAGTTTACACTGCAAGGGACCAACATTCTCTAATCATTCTTTTCCTATTACCTCATCAGTCTGTGATTTGACAAAAGATTTGGTGACAGCAAGTGACTTTATACACATATATACACAAAGGTTTAGTACCATGACAGAAAGTATATGTTTTAATTGTTTCTGTCCTCACAAAAACTCCAGTCGTTATTGTAATGTATTGTTTTCTTTGGTAATCATGGCAACAGTTTTGACTTTAAATATTTTATTTGTTTCGATAACTCAAGGAGTAAAATCTTCGTATTTTTTTCTAATTTGTTTCTAATTTATTCATATTTTTCTTCAGATCTTTTTCTATTATCATCTGAAATTCAATTTCTATAAATGACATGTTTCTACCTTTCTGAACTAAAGAGTTCTGCTCTGACCTTAAGATTTGTCAGAACATTAACAGTCACTCTAAAAGAGATATGAGTAGCATTAACTTATTTATGTGATTGGTCTAAACTAAACATGGTGAACATGTTTAAGAAAGCAGGATTTTTTATTTTCGTTTAATTTATGATGTGTAGCATGTATATTATGTTAAGAATAGTATTTTCCCAAAAGCAGTTGTGTTACTATGCTGTGTCTCCATGTAGCCTTGCTTCAAAATATAGTTCTTTATCTGGTGGTGCTAAGTTTTTTTTTTTTTTTTTTGTTTGTTTAAGTTGAAGAAAATCTCTATGAAAACTGTATATTCTCTACCATTTTTAGAGTTTACGTCCAGTGTGTTTTTATCATGTGTACAATGAAACATTATTGGGTGGCTTTCTGACAGTATGTATGCTTGTATGATGTGTATCTGATCTGACATTTGAACATTGGTAAGTAATGGTAACTATGACTTGTGTGTATGAGTAAGATGATAGACTTGTAGTGTTCTGACAGTGAGGGCAAAAGTGCAGTGGTCATGTTCTGACAGTGAGGATGATGGAAGACTGGTCATGTTCTGACAGTGAGGATGATATAGAAGACTGGTCATGTTCTGACAGTGAGGATGATGGAAGACTGGTCATGTTCTGACAGTGAGGATGATAGTAGACTGGTCATGTTCTGACAGTGAGGATGATATAGAAGACTGGTCATGTTCTGACAGTGAGGATGATAGAAGACTGGTCATGTTCTGACAGTGAGGATGATAGAAGACTGGTCATGTTCTGACAGTGAGGATAATAGAAGACTGGTCATGTTCTGACAGTGAGGATGATAGAAGACTGGTCATGTTCTGACAGTGAGGATGATAGAAGACTGGTCATGTTCTGACAGTGAGGATGATAGAAGACTGGTCATGTTCTGACAGAGAGGATGATAGAAGACTGGTCATGTTCTGACAGTGAGGATGATAGAAGACTGGTCATGTTCTGACAGTGAGGATGATAGAAGACTGGTCATGTTCTGACAGTGAGGATGATAGAAGACTGGTCATGTTCTGACAGTGAGGATGATAGAAGACTGGTCATGTTCTGACAGTGAGGATGATAGAAGACTGGTCATGTTCTGACAGTGAGGATGATAGAAGACTGGTCATGTTCTGACAGTTAGGATGATAGAAGACTGGTCATGTTCTGACAGTGAGGATGATAGAAGACTGGTCATGTTCTGACAGTGAGGATGATAGAAGACTGGTCATGTTCTGACAGTGAGGATGATAGAAGACTGGTCATGTTCTGACAGAGAGGATGATAGAAGACTGGTCATGTTCTGACAGTGAGGATGATAGAAGACTGGTCATGTTCTGACAGTGAGGATGATAGAAGACTGGTCATGTTCTGACAGTGAGGATGATAGAAGACTGGTCATGTTCTGACAGTGAGGATGATAGAAGACTGGTCATGTTCTGACAGTGAGGATGATAGAAGACTGGTCATGTTCTGACAGTGAGGATGATAGAAGACTGGTCATGTTCTGACAGTTAGGATGATAGAAGACTGGTCATGTTCTGACAGTGAGGATGATAGAAGACTGGTCATGTTCTGACAGAGAGGAAGATGTAGAAGACTGGTCATGTTCTGACAGAGAGGAAGATGTAGAAGACTGGTCATGTTCTGACAGTGAGGATGATAGAAGACTGGTCATGTTCTGACAGTGAGGATGATAGAAGACTGGTCATGTTCTGACAGTTAGGATGATAGAAGACTGGTCATGTTCTGACAGTGAGGATGATAGAAGACTGGTCATGTTCTGACAGTGAGGATGATAGAAGACTGGTCATGTTCTGACAGAGAGGAAGATGTAGAAGACTGGTCATGTTCTGACAGTGAGGAAGATGTACAAGACTGGTCATGTTCTGACAGTGAGGATGATAGAAGACTGGTCATGTTCTGACAGTTAGGAAGATGTAGAAGACTGGTCATGTTCTGACAGTGAGGAAGATATAGTACACTGGTCATGTTCTGACAGAGAGGAAGATATAGTACACTGGTCATGTTCTGACAGTTAGGAAGATATAGTACACTGGTCATGTTCTGACAGTTAGGAGGATGATAGAAGACTGGTCATGTTCTGACAGTTAGGAAGATGTAGAAGACTGGTCATGTTCTGACAGTGAGGAAGATGTACAAGACTGGTCATGTTCTGACAGAGAGGATGATAATACACTGGACTTAGTGTTTCACTGTACATGTAGTACTACTAATTTGAATCCTTTTCAGCTAGTGAAACGCATCAGAACAGCTTCTTTAGGTCATTTGAGTAGCTGTTCCATTATACTGTTTCTAGAAACCACGTACAAGGATCATATGCCAACGCTATTTGTTTTCATATCTTGATCATTCAGAACATGGAAACATGCTCATCCACACAACTCTCAAGTAATTCACAAGTCTCTGTATAAGCTTCAGTCAAACACAAACATGAATACTTTGTATACCTTGTATATCAGCCTACATTGCTTCCAATAGTTAAAGTTAGGATGTTTCTGATGAATGAATTAATGAGATAATCTCTAGTGTTATCTTCATTTCAGGTATTATATTTGTACTTTCTACATACCGATATACTTTACACTCGCTCCATTACATTGGTCATATTTTTGCAATATCTTTTTTGTCATTCAGGGTTTTGTTTACGATAGTCAAGTGTTTCCTGCACAAGATGTACATGTTGACCGAATGTATATTTTTTTCATAATTGTATATTGTTTGTGTGAAGACATACTGGTTCTGTCTGTGTAATTGTGTATTGAATAACTTTAATTATTTCTCCAGTAGGATCCTTCAATCTTCATCATCACTATAACTGTGTTCCTGATTATCACCGACCAGCATAATCAGATTACTGCTTCATTCCATTTGTTGTTCAATTTAGATTTTAACTTTTGCTAATTCAATAATTTTCTTTTCTTTTGAACAATTCTCCCATTAACTACCAAACAATACGAAGTAGCAATAACATCATTTTGTGCAATAATTTCAGAAGGAAGGTATTATTTTTAGTGTACATGTATTTGTAGATAGCTTATACCATATTTAGTTTGTTCCTGACAATGGTTTTTCTTGGACATAGTTCACCTGTACCGAAATTACTTACCTGTACTATAAGTAGTTACCTGGACAGTGATTTACCTGTACTGAAATGATTTACCTGTACTGAAATGATTTACCTGTACTGAAATGATTTACTCATAAAGTAGTTCATATTTACTAAAGTAATTATGGTGATCATCTTGTTATACTTAAAACATTGATTACAACAAGATGTTGTGGTAAATGTGATGGACATCATGTGATCATTAATTTATTGCGTCGTTGTTTGTAGACCATATTTTGATATAACCATCTGTATATTTGGAGTATCACCGTCTCTCTCTCACCAAATTATTCTTGGTTTCTGTGACTATAAAGTATAGGCCATTTTGATAATTATTATTATATAAATGTGCAGCTGTTCCGTGGACCAGGAGCAGCAGGTGCCAACCTTTATTTATGGTAAATTAGTGCATTTTTGAAGATGAAGAAGAAATATCTTGTAAAAGTTTGTCAGTATAATTGTCTGTTTTGAATATGTCCATGAAATGGACGAGTTTCCTATCTGTTTCTATTTAAGGCACCACACTAATCATTTATTGACTACATGTGCTGTGTTTCTCTCAATAGTTCTGATCAAGTCCTACACTTAGGGAACAGCACTACAGAAATACCATTGTTTACATAGTACACGGTCTTGTTCTGATGTAGTATATCTACAAGGCATCCCTCCTTCTCCCCTTATTCTTGTATACTGATAAGTGTGACGTATTGCCTTCTTAAGGAAATTCTTTAATACCCGTATGGAATATGTTTAGTTGAAAACATTCTACACGTACACCAGTGATGAATACATGCATGATCTGATAGCATTATAACAAGGATTATTATAATATATAACTGTGTATCTTTAACTGAAGAATTCGGCCTTATCAACAGCTTATGTATCACAGCTGAAACACTCTACCTCATTTCAAGAATTTTTACATTTTTTTTTTTTTTTTTTTGAACTTTTTATATAAAAGAAAATTTC